CTGCAAGATACTTTTTTTAATTAACTATTTCTCCTATTTTTTTCCTCTATAAAGTTATTTCTTCTTGTCATAGAACTGCAAAGACAGAGTAGGTTCCTTCACCCGTCCTGTTTAAAAATAATGAGCATTCCATAGTCAAGAGGAAAAGAGGGTCTTTTAAATAAATGTGTGGGTATTTCTAGAATAGTTAATTTCTATGTGAAATTAGCAATACTTCCTTCCAAGCTTGAGTGCACACAGTATACAAACCTGTGAAACTAGAATAAATTTAAAAAGTACCTTTCCTATAAATATCTTAAAATTGGTATACACTTGAAATCTATTTTTTTATTGCTGTCACAGTGGGAAATTCCATAAAGTAAAAATTTAGTGTGTTTTGATTTTGTTGTAAAATGTGATATTTATGGTACAGAAACTGGAGATATGCATCCAACTTTTACTATGTTCCTTATGCAAAGTTAAGAATCAATCAAACAAACAAAACAAACACTCTAATGGTTCAACAGTGTTCTTCATAAAGTTATTGTAAGGGTGGAATTCAAAGAAGAGGAACTCAGTCTTTCATGCTTTATCTATTCCAGAAAAGGCCACTAACGTAGCTATTAACTTGAGATGATTCAAAATGTAAGTTACCAAGTCTAAAGACTTACAAATTGTAATCTATATAATAAAAACCTAGTAGTTGTTATGCTGTAATGACCAAAGACCGGTCACCAGGAGGTTGCATGTGTGGCGAGGAATACATGGGTGGAAAAGGCTGCGTGCATGGTGAGGCATGTGTGGGTGGGTGGGGCCACGTGATTCTGTGCGCTGGGTTTCTGGTATCATCATATAACTTTTAGTTATTTAAGTTAGGAATGTTTGATTCTAAGGGGAAACTAGAAATGAAATGAAATTATCTTTAGTAATTATATCTAATACTGGTATGTAGGCCTTCACTTAAGCTTATAGATATTTTGTTATTACTTCTTCATCCTGACATAAGAATAGGCTAATTGTTGTAATTATATTACAGTTCACGGGCTATGGGGAAGCATGGGACTTGCTTGGAAAGTCTGTAAGGAGGATGCTCTGAAAGGTTGGGGCCTCTGGGGGGATCTTGCCAAAGGTGGCAGCCCCTACCTTGACTTTTCCAAAAAAGTCTTATCTCTTGGGTATTTTACTAGAATCTGTATGTTTAGACTTAAAAATGTCCTTGCTTAAAGGACGGATGTGTTTTTCTCAAGGATGCTTACTTTGCTAATAGCATCTAATAGTTAATTTTAGTTCAAGCTGTTGTTACAATAAAAGCCAAAGGAGGCAGGTGAACAGAGCTACTTGATGGCGATAGCCAAGTAGTTCCTTAGCCCTCTCTTTCACAGAAACGTGTGTCAGAGTAATCATTTATCCGTTGTTCAGGGTCTGCTGGTCATCTCCAGGAATGGGCTTCTCATAAATTCTTCTAAGAAACTCTAATTTAGCTTTTGACTTATTTAGTTTGATATACTTGCTAATAATTTATTTCTGTAATGTTAATAAAAAATTTAATATATCCCAATATACATACATATTAAAACACCACATGTACCTGTGTGTTAATGTATTATGTATATGTCTTTAACCTAATGTCTTTTTTGGTTCTAGGATCTCAACCAGGCCATCACAGTGGGTTTCCAAAGCCATCTTGTGGTTAACTTCCCAGTTTCATATCATTCATGATAGGAAAAGACAACCAATTAATCAGTTAAGCTTTTCTAACCCTTTCAGGGAAAATGTTGTGTCTATAATATATTAGCCCAGCCATCCTGGCTCAGTGGTTGAGCATCAACCTATGCAACAGGAGGTCACGGTTTGATTCCGGGTTAGGGCTTATGCCCAGGTTACAGACTCGATCCCCAGTGAGGGGCAGGTAGAAGGCAGCCAATCAATGATTCTCTCTCATCATTGATGTTTCTATCTCTGTCTTAAAGTCTTAAAGAGGAAGACAGAGATAGAAATTATTAAAAAATATATTTAAAAAATTAATTAAAAAAAGAATATTAGTTGCCCATATCAATAAATTCAATCTGATAGCACTTGATAATTCTTTTTAAAAAAATATATTTTATTGATTTTTTTCACAAAGAGGAAAGGAGAGAGATAGAGAGCTAGAAACGTCGATGAGAGAGAAACATTGACCAGCTGCCTCTTGCACCCCCCCCACTGAGGATGTGCCCGCAACCAATGCACATGCCCTCGACTGGAATCAAACCTTGGACCTTTCAGTCCGCAGACCGATGCTCTATCACTGAGCCAAACTGGTTTTGGCAGCGCTTGATAATTCTTCATCTCGATCCCTTTGTTATATTCCTAGAGATGCTATGGCAAAGTACCACAAACTGAGTGGCTTAAAACAATAGAAATTTATTCTCTCCTAGTTCTTGAAGCTAAATATCTGAAATGAAGTTGTCAGCAGGGCTATGCTTCTTCTAAAGGCTCTTTGGAATAAACTTTCCTTGCCCTTCCCTAGCCCGTACTGGCTCCCAGAAGTTCTTGGCTTATAGCTACTTCACTGCAATCTCTGCTTCCATCTTCACACATCCTTCTTCCTCAGTGTCTATATATTTCTTCATCTTCTCATCATATAAGGACACTGGTCATTATATTTAGGGCCCAGTCTAATCCAGCATTACATGGATTAAATCTGCAAAGACCCTATTTCCAAATAAAGTGACATGAGGTTCCAGATGGACATGAATTTTGGGCGACAATATTTAATCCAATATAATCATATACTTTTACTATTCATAAGCTATATAACTCACATATTCTTTCACTTGCTGTGATTTTTGAGCATGTGTATTTATTACTATTTAAAATAAAATTAAAAAGGTAAAATATCCACTATTCTTTGCTTTAAAATGCAAATATTCTTTCCATCCAGTTTCTCCTTTTGGTGCACACTATCATATAATCTTTCTATAATGTGCACTGACCATCAGGGGGCACCTGTGGAACATGGCAGGCATCGGCTGTGGTGGGATGATGGAGCAGGTGAGCTGGGGCACCAGACCAAGGTGGGGCACTGGTCGCTGTCATCAGGGTGAGCCTCTGGAGGTTCCTGAAAATTTTTTGCTCTTGTGTGCCATGGCTCTGTCCAGCACTCGCACCCACTGCTGGCGCCCTGAATCGCCCTGATTGCTCGGCACCATCAAAGGATGTGAGCAGCAGCTGCCAGCCCCATTCACCCCTGAGGGCTTCTCCACCTCCTCCTGCTCCTGAGGGGCAATCAGGGCAACAGCTGCTGCTCAAACCTGCTGACAGCACTGGCCCCAATGCTCCAGGAGCAATGGTGGGGGGCAGAGCAGGGCTGCCAGGAGACAGGGGACCAAGGGCTGCAGCAGGAGGGGCCGGGCGAGGGTGCAGATGGGCTGAGACCCACCCCTGTGCCTACTGCAGCCTCGTGACCCACAGTTCCTTTCAAGGTATAATACATGAATTCATGCACTGGGCCCCTAGCCTTTCAATAAAATCCTCTGCTACCTAGTTTTTGCCCCAGAATATTTGTAGGTTTCTCAATTGCCATGCTATTTCCTCCTTCTGTATCCTGGTTCTGTACTGTTTGCTTGATAATACCCCTTGTACCCATGACTGCTGTTCATGTGTAGAGGCTATCACTGATCTATAGAGACAGAAAGGAAAGTAGTGGTTGTTGTCTGAGGTTATGGTGGTGAGAATGAAGACTGATCACAAACAGGCATGAAAGATATTTTTGGAATGATGGAAATAGTCTAAAATTAGATGGTGGTGATGGTTGTACAACTTTGTATATTTATTTAAACTCATTGCATTGTACATTTAAAATGAGTGAACTTTATGATGTTTAAACAATAATCTGTTTGTTTTTTTTTAAAGAACAGAGTAAAGAAAATAGTTGTCTACTCTTTTGGATTATAGTCAACATATACAAATAACATAGTTCACTTAAGAATTAAAAAAAAAATAGATCATCCAGTGCATTCAAAATTATTCTCAACTCTAAAGAAAAAAAAAAGGCACCTATTAGATATTAAAATATACTGAACTGCAAGAGGGTGACAAAACCATTCCAGAAAAAAAAAATCAGATTTAACTGCTTCTTTGCTAGTATGGGAGATCTTAAAACTGCAGGCATTTCACTCTCTGATCTTTGAAGTCCTGTTAATATTTTCCTTTTGCTCATGTTCCTCTAAAATCAAATTTTCTATTTGAAAGGGCACGGTCGAGAACACACAGGGCCGCGCCTGCGCAGTGGAACAGGTTCGCCCCCTTCCCGCCCTCAGGCAGGGGAGGGACCGTAACTTCCAAGCCCTGGGACCTGGAGCCTGACTCCGCACGGAAGGCACGGTCCTCCGGCCTCGGGGGCGGACCGTGACGGCATCATTCTCGGAAGGGCTGGCAGGCCGCGCCACACTATCTGCCCACATCCCTCTCTTTACAGTTGAGGAAACGCGGGTGCACCGAGTTCCACTGAAAGGTGCCCGAACAAACACATCAGCGCCCTTCACACCTCGGGCCGGTTTCCCTCCTCCTCCTCTTCCTCCTCCTCACCGAGGACGCGTCCCGCTGGGTTCCCTGTCCTCCCCTTCTACTTTCCCCCCGGGGCTGCCCGCGACCCCCCCAGAAAAGGAAGGCGCACCACACGCCTCGGGGCCAAGTGACAGCTCCAGGGGGCCGAGCATGCGCGGGGGCGGAGCATGCGCAATGGCGACGCCGCTTCGGACACCTCCCCGTTACGCTCCGCCGCGCAGGCGCAGGCGCAGGCGCAGGCTCCGCCCCCTGGACGCTCCGCCCTCGCGGGCCGCGCCCCCTCGGCGGGGGTCAGAGGCCGCGGGGCGGGCGGCCGTGACGCGCGCGGAAGCGCCCAGGGCAGCCTCGGGAGCCGGCGGGCGGCGGAGCGGCAGCGGCGGCGGCGGCCACGGCCGGGCGCCCCGACGGCAGGGGCCCTGGATCGCTCGGAGGCGCTGACCCCCCGCGGCCCCGCCGCCGTCCCCGGCGGCCCCATGAGTCGGGAGACCATGCCCCAGCCGGGAGCCTGGCTGGGCGCGGGCCGTGCGGAGAAGCTGGCACGGGAGGCGGGCGCCCTGTCCCCGGGCCCCGGCAGAGCCGCCGCGCGGGGCGGCGGGAAGGCGGCGGCCGGCGGGCAGCCGCGGGCCGCGGTGCGGTGCCCGGCCGAGCAGTAAGTTCGCAGGGCGCGGGCGGTGGGAGGGGCACCGGCTCGGTCCCCCCGGGAGGCCGGGCATGGGGTGCGGTGGGCTGGGCAGCAGCCGGCAGGGGCCTTGCGTTCCCTCGGTTCTCAGTAAGGTGGTCGGGGCAGCGGCGTTTGGAGACAGTTGTAACCAGAGTACGAAGGTTTTTCCCGGAGGGACCCCCTCCCAGGTATGGTCACCTAGTGCCCGACCCCCCCCCCCCCCCATAGTCTTAGGGGTTAGGGTTAGGGTAACTCTGAAGTCTAAGAAAGCGCCAGGAACTTGGGAAACCTGCTGCGTTACACCGAACACCCAGCGGGTCTTCCCTCCAGCCTGGCAGGAAGACGGAGCCAGGCGGCAGGTGTGTTCCGGAAGGCAAGTCGCGGCTTGAGGAGCGGCCCACCTGTTGCTAGACTTGGCGCGGAGTCTGCTCCAATCTGGTCGCTTGTTCGCGGCTCGCCAGAGATATCCCCCATTAGCCAGCCTTCAGTACGGAAAGGAGTGCGGGTTAGATCCATTCCTTACGGAACTGCGAGGAGGCGGCATAGGTTCTGCAAGGGGATGGGGGTGGAAGCAGAATACACAGCTGAAGGCTGAAGCTTTGCTGCACTTGACAAGCTCTGAGCACACATGTTTGAGCTCCCAAATTGAGGAAAGCATGCTGATAACCGGTGTGATAGATAACTTAAGTGGAAAGCTGAAGTTGAAGGTGTATTTAAATGCTCTCTAAAAAAAAAAAAAAGTTTTGCATTTCCTAAAAAGGGGTCCGTTGCAGGATTGTTAGGCAGCTAGTGTATTGTAATACTTCTCCTTTGCGTGGTTCTTTACCATGGGCTGTGTGGCATTCTCATTTATTGCGCACCCAAACCCTTTTCCATGTGATTATCCACACTTAATGGCCGCTGGGAAGTATTTAGAGTAGGAGGTTTCAAACTCTGGCCCCCAGGAGTGAGGAGGTAAAGCTGGCCAGGTAGGTGTTCTCTGTTGGGGGGTAGTCTTAAGTTTCAGCCTATAAGTTGGCTTTTCTATATTAAAACAAACAAACTGATATTCGGACTTTTGTATGAAATGTCCTGACTTTAAAATATTTATATTTTAATTGAAACCAATAACTGGTCCATGTGTGAGCTGATGTGACCTGTGGCTTCCATTTTGCTCCTTGAGTTGGAGACCTCAGACTCTGCAGCCTGTAAACTAGGAGCATTTTCTGCCTCTCCCCTCTCCCAGCCCATGCGGTGCCTAACTGCTGCCACCTCACTTCTGCCCCCATCTAATGGCCTTGCTGCTCAGATGCTGCTGCTCAGCCTCTGCAGAGCAGTTTCGTGCCCCTTGGGTGATGCAGAAATTATGAAGTGAGCATTATGTTCCCGAAAGTATACATATAGTTATTTGGCAACTTTTCCTGCTGCATGTGGCTCCCAGCGTCTGCGTACCTGGGGAAATGGGTCATGGTGTGGAAGGAGCACTCCTTCCTGGTGAAGAGGTTTTTTGGCCTCTTCTGTCTTCTGCCAGTAGAATTATAGATTTAGAGCTGAAAGGAATCTAAAAAGCTCAGCCTAGGTTTGTCATTTTATACATTAGGAAACTGAGTGGTCGGTTGATAGGTACAGCTTGCCCAGGGAGAAACAGGGAGTAGGTTTCAAGGCCAAGTTCCCTGATGCCTGGGTGGGAACCTCCTCCAGTGTCTCGCCCAAAGCAGGCAGAGGAACATGAATTAGGACAGTACACTTCAGATTTTTGTTTTCCTGGACTAGATGTTTCGTTTTGTAGTTTATTTAGAGCTTAAATTTTTTTTCTTTCCGTTTTTGTTGTCGGTGATCTTACTCTCTTTAACTCAGAACAAGAGGAAGAAAGGAAAGGAGGTGAAGATAATTTAAGGTGTCACCAACTGCCGAACATCACATCTTGTATTTTTTCGCTTTCTTGCCAATTATATAAGCAGTGAGGCTATTTCTGTTTGCTCTGTGACACTTTCTTAAGGGCTAGAGAAACTGCATCTTATAAATTACTTATTTTATAGTTTGCAATATAATGTGTGCACATCAGTTCTTATATGATGAAATATGCAACCTAGTAGTTGGGTAAAGATTTAAGTAAATAGTGTAATGTCTAAATTACAACCTAAAATACTTTTAAATTGTGTTTTTCTGTCATTGGAGCCAACTTTGTTCTTCTCACTCAAAGAATTGTGTTTTTCCTGCACAGGAATTTGAATAAAATATTTGTACCTGAATATATGAAATAGCATAAAACTACAGATGTTTTGAGATATCTTGCAGTCATTTTTAATGCATTCTGTTGACAGTACTTATGAGTACAAACCATAACCCAACTTTATAGCCACCAATCATTTCAGATGTGTCTCTTTGAAGTGTGCAGTGATACATTGGGAAGGGATGGATCATTATCTAGGCAGTGCTGTAAGATACTGATTCTTTTAGGCCAGCAATTTTCAACCGGTAGGCTGCAAGAATTTTTAAAACATGCAATATCTGACTATTGAGTCAAGAGCACTGACCTCTTTCCCTTTAGATTGTCAATGAAAAAAATGACAATAGCCACCCTGGCCGGTGTGGCTTAGTTGGTTGAAACATTGTCCCGTATACCTAAGTTTCAGGTGCAGAAGGCAGCCTTTCAGTGTTCTCTCTCACATCGATGTTTCTCTCTCTCTCCCTCTCCCTCTCCCTCCCTCCCTCCCTTCCTCCCTCCCTCCCTTCCTCTCTCCCTCTCTCTTCCTCTCCCTCTCTCCCTCTCTCCCTCTCCCTTCCTCTCTCTCTCTCCCTCTCTCTATCTCCCCTTTTTCTCTCTCTTCCTCTTCCTTTTCCTCTCTCTAAAATCAATAAGAATATCCTCAGGTGAGGATTAAAGAAGAAAATAATAGCAGCCAATACAACAATAGCATCCAATGTGGATGATTAAAAAAGAAACACACTATACCTTTTTTTTTTTTTTTTGTCGGATCAGCAAAATATATTTTTTGGTGTACTGAAGAATTTTAGTAATTAGTTGGGTGTGCCATTAGATAAACAAGTTTGGAAATTGCTGCTTTAGACTAAGTTCACTGCATTTCCTAAGGGAGAGAAGTACAAAGAATGCCATAAAAATCATATGGATAAGCTACTTGATAAATCTTTTCCCCCTTCATCCCTCTCTCCCTTCTTTTCTTTCCTTCTTAGCTCTTTTGAGGTTGATTGGCATCCTCTCCACCCCCCTTAAGCCCTGAGGATGGCTCCTGAGATGAGCCCCATTTAAATACCTTGTAGGTCACATCAGATTCAGTTGGCTTTTTTTTTTTTTTTTTTTGGACGCTTCTTCATTTCTTGTATCATCAGCAGGTCTCTTATGCTTTATCTCCTGCTCACCCCAGTCTTAACATTTGAAGCTTACGCTATGTCCACTTCCATAGGGAAGTGAGAAGTGAGACTGCTTTGTGGCTCTTCTCTGCCTGCTTGCCTCGTGGAGGGACAGCATTTGAATCTGCGGTCCACGGGTTGGCCGTGGGTGGGAGGGGGAGCATGACTGTGAACTGAAATTGAAGGCAACTCTTCATGTGTATTTATGTGTTTCTGGGCCGAGCTTCTGATGAAAGCTGTGGCTTCTCAAAAGATCTGTGAATAACAACAAATTGTTAAAACATTGTTCTTGGGTGTTGCTAAATATACCACTGTGCTAGTGTGTTTTCCCACCCAGCTCACACATGTGGAGCTTCAAGGCGCCATATTTGATGGGGTATCAGTTATGCCCTCCTGCCCCTCCCCTTACCTGGATGTAGAGCCAACTTCAGAGTTGAGAGCTTAGATATCTCAGAACCAGGCCTCAGTGCTGAGGGTCCAGGGTCGTCCCCATACACCTCTGGAAGTCGTGTGGAGTATCGTGAGCCAGTCATGGAAAGTCCAGTTGCAGAAGGGTGGTGGAATTTTGGCCTGGGTGCTGGTACTTTCCTGCATTTGATGTGTTGTTCACCCATCTCTACAACCGGTAACGGAGGAGAAAGGCTCGGTTGAATGGTCTTTGCTATTCCTGTGTGGGAAGGTGCATTGGTGTCACAGTGGTTGACACTGTCTCACCAACACTGTCTGGGCCACTCGTCTCCCAGGACAGGCCAAGTTAAGCGTGAACTGCAGTGTTCAGGTTAAGAGAGCTGAACTAAATCATCTTCATGTTAGCTTTTTTAGACAAGGGGAAGTTGGTGCAATTGTTCATAATGGTGAGGGATTAGAATGCTGTCTTGTTAGCTTTGCATATATGATATGTCAGCATTGACTTTTTTCATGTTAGATCTTACTTGTATCAGAAATTGAAAAATTGGCTTCACAGAAATGTGTTCTGCTTCACTGTGCTCTATGTTTTTAGATTATAGCTTTTGTTTTTAGGAATAGTGTAATTTTGTTTCTAGGTAGTAAGCATTTTTAAATTAAGTTTTCAAAAATGTATTGTTATGTAGGTCTTTGAACAGCAAGAGGAAGCTTATAATTTAGAATGCAATGTCATGTAACTTTCTCAATGGTGTATGTTGCCTTAATATTAATAAGATATGTTACCTCTAGCATAAGAGAAAATGGGAACTTGAATATATACACTTTAAAATAACATTACGGTGCTAAACTAAACATTTTCTAAGGAGGAGTTGCTAACAGTTTGGTTTTAAAATTTAATTAAATTGTATAATTGAGTGTGATTCACATGCCATCGTCCCCAGGAAATCAAGTCACATTTATGACTTTGTCTTACTTTTCTTACTAGTACTGGTTCCAGAGGGAACTTTGCTGTGGGGCAGGGTGGGGTCCTTCAGCCTGGCCTGGGCCCTCTCCGGGCGGGACCCCTCGCTCCTTAACGCCCTCCTGCACACTGCTCCTTACTTGCTCGGCTTGCTGCTCCTTAACGCTGCTGTGGAGAGAGGCTCCTGCCACTGTTGCTGTGCTCGCTGGTTGTGAGCCTGGCTTTTGGCTGAGCGGCACTCCAGCTGTGGGAGCTCACTGACCACTGGGGGGCAGTTCTTGCATTGAGCGGCTGCCCCCTGGTGGTCAGTGCATATCATAGCGACCAGTTGTTCGTGTTATTCCTCCATAACAGTTGCTGGGCTTTTATTATATAGACTAAAGGCCTGGGTGCACAAAATTCGTGCATGAAGGGGTGTCCCTCAGCCCAGCCTGTACCCTCTCCAATCTGGGATCCCTCGAGGGATGTCCAACTGTTGGACATCTCTCTCACAATCCAGGACTGCTGGCTCCCAACTACTCAACTGCCTGCCTGCTTGATTGCTACTAACTGCTTCTGTCTGCCAGCCTGATCACCCCCTAACCATTCTCCTGCCAATCCGATCGACACCTAACTGCTCCTCTGCTAGTCCAATTGCCCCTAAATGTCCTCTCATGCCAGCCTGGTCACCACTAACTTTCCTTCCCTGCAGGCCTGATCACCCCAACTACTCTCCCCTGCTGGCCCCGGAACCCCCAACTGCCCTCCCTTGCCAGTCTGGTTCCCCCCCAACTGGCCACCCCTGCTGGCTTGGTCCTCCCCAAATGCCCTCCCCTGCTGGCCATCTTGTGGTGGCCATCTTATGTCCACATGGTGGCAGCCATCTTTGACCATGTAGGGGCGGCCATCTTGTGTGTTGGAGTGATGGTCAATTTGCATATGACTCTTATTAGATAAGATGATCTTACTTTCTGTTTCTATCTTCCCTTTGATTTATTTCTGTTCCTCTCTTGTTGGTCTTTGTGGGAATTTGCATTTGTGACTGGACTGAGAAATGTTTGTTCAGGGAACCCCATCTGGGCACTGGTATTGCGATTGCACTTTGGTTACTTTGTAGATTAAAAAGGAAAAGGACAAAGTATAGCCAAAAGTGCATGTAGCACAGCTACAGACTTTCCCTGGAGGTAGAATGTTTAACGACTAATAGATTCCTGGTCTGTTAGAAGTAAGAACTGGAAGAGGAACCATGTAGATCAGCAATTTTCACCCTTGTGCCACAGGAATTTTAAAACATGTGATACCTATTTCGTCAGGGGCACTGACCTTTTCTCCCTTAGATTGTCAAATAAAAAACTGACAATAGCCGAAGCTGGTTTGGCTCAGTGGATAGAGTGTCGGCCTGTGGACTTAAAGGTCCCAGGTTCGATTCTGGTCAAGGGCATGTACCTTGGTTGCGGGCACATCCCCAGTGGGAGGTGTGCAGGAGGCAGCTGAATGATGTTTCTCTCTCATCCATGTTTCTAACTCTCTATCTTTCTCCCTTCCTCTTTATAAAAAATCAATAAAATATAATATATTAGAAAAAAACAAACAAAACAAACTGACAACAGCCAACAGCCAACACAAGAGTAGCTGTCCAATGTGAAACAATAAAAATGATATCTATTTTTGTCAAGTTAGCAAAAAAATACATTTTTTGGTGTGGTTCAGAATTTTACTAATTAGTTTATGAGTATCATGAGATGATGTAGGTCATTTAGATCTTATCCAGTCTTCTCTTTATGATGACGAGAGAACTGAGGACAAGATTAGGTAAGTGCTTGCCCAAAGAGATGCTTCTGGCAATATTTTGAAAGTGATTCACTTGAGTGCCTGTGTTTTAGGATCAGAATTTTTCACATTTGATCAAGCTCTGAACTTGGCCCGAAAGATATTAAATTAGCAAAAGAAGAACTAACACATTTAGTCACTTTTTATTTTAGGTGTTTGAGGTATAGGCTCTGGGAATCTGGTTTCTGTTTGTTTGAACTCTGGTACAGGCTCCATGGGTGACATCACACCTTTTACTTGAAATCTGATGAGCCAGAGTATGTGGAAAGTACCTTTTCCCTAATATGACCCCTCAACCTCAGAACATTAAAAAAAAGTCACCCCAAACATACCCCAGCACCTTTATTTTAGAAAGAAAAAGGGTATGCAAAATGATTATTGTTTATTAATACTTTAAACCAATGGATGTAGTATGAGAATTAATAGGAATAGCTAACTTTGAGTGCTGAGTATTTTACATTGTCTCTTCCCATAATAACCCTTTGAGGTGGGTACTCTTACTGTCCTTGGTTAAATTTAAGCGCTGGCAGGTGTAGTTACTTTAGTTCTACAGTCATACATACGGCTGATAAGGGCTGCAGTGAGGACATTTTACCTCTGGGTTCCCACTCCAGCCATGACACTCTACAGCGGGGTCCCACATAGTACCTGTCCTGCTGTGCTAGCCTATTGTCCATCAGGCAGAGGGAATGGGGAGAGCCAATCACAGGTTGTGAAAGTGCCTGCCTGGGAAATCTTGGACTGGTGTGGGTGTGTGTAGGAAATCACGGAATACTGGCAAGACTGGTAGGTATAAGACGTATAAAACGACTTTTGAAACGAAAAAAAGTCAACTGAAAATCGGGGGCAAAAGACCAAAATTGCACAAAAATTACCTGCAGATATTGATGGCAAAGTAAGTTTTCTTTGAAGTGGGGGGTAGTCTTATACAGCGGATATAGGCCTAAACCTAGGTTTTAACTGTAAAAATTAGGGGGTCGTCTTATACACCGGAAAATACGGTAAGTCCACATTTTAGACTTTTCTGCTTATTTGGGAGCCATTGAAGAGTTTCAGGTGGTGTGGGGAGAGGCAGATATATTAGACTCCCCACCTCTCTCAACACACCTTCATCTGTCTCTTTCTCCCCTCACCCCTTCCTCTTTCTTCCAGCAGTACTAGGCCATGGAGAAGGAGCAGGGGGAACTAAGGGAATTGGGGATGGGGCATTTCAGTCGTTCACTAATTCCTTATTGTTTATTGACCTCTTAACTCCTCCTTCCTGTGTGCCATTGTGCCTGGAGCCTCCTGTCTTGTGTGAGGATGGGGGTGTGCTGTCATCGGGAAGGATTATAGGGAATTGAGGGTCTCATCACTCCTTGTGTGTACATCGGTCAGTTTCCTTGGTCTCAGTTCTCAGTGTCTCTACCTTCTGAATGAAGTTCTTGGCCTTTCTGGGGTTCTGCAGGGTTTACTGGTCTTCTCTTCAACAGATGCCCTTCCACAGGCAGCAAGGATTCCTGTCCTTCGTCATTTACTCCTCCTTTGTCCACTTTTGGACTTTCATATGTCTTGTGGTTTTAGCAAACACAGTGTTTCTGTTGCCCATCATTGTCATGTTGTGGTGTAAGTTGAGGGGGAGAGAAGGCACCCTAAAACCAAAAGTCTCATCATCTTTGTCTAACACCCTTGTCTCCCTCTCTAGTACTTAGTAGGTTCTTGTTAGTTCAGTGAGACTAAAGACTCTTTAGGAAACTATTATATAAGTACCAAGTCACTGCTACTTACTATATAAGTAGCAGTGGCAGCAGTAAGAGTATGTGGGGCCGTAGGGATATGCTCAGCGGAACATGAATATGAGGGTCATAGAGCAGGGGGAGCCTTGGAAGGTATTTATTTTTTTAGCTCTGGTGACTTATAATAATTGATGCTTGCCTATTGTTGTTATTAGAGTAGCTATTGTCAAGTTTGTGATATTAAGGTGGGCCATCGGACTGCATACCTATATGAACACCTTTAATAGCACTGTATTTATTCTCGGAACTTGATAGACTATAACAGTGCTTCATTGATAAGACACATGCTAAGGTGCTTACATGTGCAGATGAGGCATTAATAGATTTGTAATTAAAATGGTCTCAGAGCCAGGTGGCAAATGGAGTGATGTAAAATGTCTCATTTGAAGTAAGAAACTCTGAAGTGGAATGATAGAAATACGAGTATCTAAGATGAAAGACCCACATTTTATCAGATTGTCATTAATAAGAAAAAAATTAAACTTCAAATGTCTTATCAATTTTTAAGCACTTGCATTGTGATAAGAGGGAAACTGTCAGTACAACAGCTTTGAAATGTCTCATTTGGTGTGATTTCAGCGAGGAGGACATATATCGTGCTGCGGATGAAATAGAAAAGGAGAAAGAGTTACTTATACATGAAAGAGGGTTATCAGGTATGTTTGGAATTGTTTTATTTATTTTATTGTTCTACTGTTTATAGTAGAAAATGCTGTTAAATCTGTATATCCATGTTCATAAAATATTAGGATGTACTTCCTAGGGGATATGCATATGGTCTTATCTGCGTGCAGTTATTCATTTTGTTAGAGTCTGGTGAGTATTGTTTCCTGAGGTCTTAACATTTTATTGAAAGTATTCTTTTCATGCCATTTTTGTACCCATCAGGATTGGTTGAGTCTCTTGACACCACCCTCTCTTAGTTCTTGATTTTCTTACATTCTTGGAGGGAGAGTTTGGATTTGCAATACAGTTTTCATTTCACATGGGAAGACTAATAGAGAACCGTGACTTTGCATCAGATGGCTATGCGGATTTGACTGACTCGTAAGAAAGAATGATCATGGGATTGGTAGCATTGATTCCCTCATTTCATGATTTTGTTTCATGTTTCTGCTCAGTCATGCCTGCTCTTCTCACCCCAACCTGGGCCCTTTGACCCATCATTGCTGCTAGAGTGAGGCGTTACATCCTGGCCTCCTCCACTGTGGGCACAGCCAGAAGGGCTGTGTGTGAAGCACCTCCTTACTTGTGCAGGAGCTGAGATGGGATGCTCCATTTGGGGATTTGTCATGGAAGAGGCACAAGTGGCGTTTTCTCTCTTATTCCCAGTGTAATGTGTGCGTTCTAGTGGTTTGTTTTGAGCACTAGCTTCTGTTTATTTTATGGTTAACAAGAGCATTACTGTATATGTAATTCGGAAGAAATGATACAAAGTGGGGTTTTGTTGATGGTTTTCAAGTCTTCCTCAACTAGGAATTGGTGGAACTCCTCACTGGTGGCCATAGGAGATGTTCTTTGTAGGGGCCTAGTCAGATGTATTCTTGGGCCATACTGTTCTAGTCCTCCATGAAATTGCTGAGGATGCTTGGTTTCTACTGCTGCAGTTACACAGAATTCACTTCTGATGCAGAGTTCTTATTAGTCATACTAGAGGCCTAGTGCACAAAATTCATGCACCCAAGATGGGGGGGGTCTAGGGAGGGGGGGATTCCTCAGTCTGGCTTGCACCCTCTTGCAGTCCAGGAGCTCTCAAGGGATGTCCATCTGACAGCTTAGGCCTGCTTCCCGTGAGCCTGGCTTCTGGCTGAGCAGCACTTTCCCTGTGGTGGTCAGTGCATGGCTGTGTGATCAGTTTGCATATTAGCCTTTTATTATATAGGATTCCTGAGGAAGAAGTGATTCTTTGGCTGTTGGGCATTCCTGCTACATTTGCAGAGACCTCACTTTCTCCTTCACTCTGAAGGCTCTTTTTTGCCTGCCAGTAACAGCCCTAATGCAGACAGTTGAGCTTTTCAGTGGGCCTGGTCACTTCCAGTGTTAGTCTGAGATTAAAATGGACCCCTGTATATTCTTTCTTGCATCTCAGCCCTCTGGGCTTATTCAGGGCCCTCCTGAAATAACAACCTTTGGAAGGGCCTCTGTAAGGATCTGTTGGTGGGAAGCTCTGTGTATTTGAAAATTTTATTTCAATTCAATTTTTTTCTTGAATAACTCCAGATGTATAGTTGTTGCCTATAATCTTTTTGAAGAATATTTTATTGTGTTGTCTTCTGGTTTCTGTTGTTAGTTAAAACACTGCAGTCAGACTAATCCTTGGTAGATAATCTGCCTTTTCCTTCTCTTTGTCTTAGGTGTTTCTCCTTGGTAACTCTTAAGTGTGGATTTTTTTTTTTTTTTAACGTGTTGCTTGTTTTTTTTTTTCCTGTTTGCATTTCTGGGTGCCTAGTTTTCATCAGTTCAGGAGAATTCTCAGCTATTATCTTTATGAATATTGCCTTTCCCAGTTCTCGGTATTCACTCCTTCCAGAACTCTAATTAGATATTTGCTAGCCCCCATTCAGTCATCCAAGGCTCCCAATCACACACATTTTCATATATGTTTTTAATCTTGTAGCCTCTGTTGCATTCTAGATGGTTTATTCAGATCTATTCCCCCCCCCCCCCCCCCATTTGCCTGATCGTTTTGGCTAGTTTATTTTCTCTGCTCATGTTTTTAATTTCTTTATTTTTTTAAAGCATTTTAAACATACTCTTCTGGGTTTTTCACTTTTTAAAAATCCTGATAGATATAATTATTTTGCTTATTTCTTTCTTTAAAGTTTGAATTATAAGCTCAGCTCTTGTGTATCTGTGTAGAGTTCATGCAACTTGGCTTGAGTGTGAGAAAATTTGGCCTTGTTTCTGCCAGGCACCCAGAGTGTCACCTCCCTTGGGCCACTTTATATGAATTTCCAGACTTGTGTTTCCAGGGTCTTGTGGCTGATCTGAATTTACACCCTGTCCCTGTCTGAGAACCGGCCTGTGGTTATGAATTCTCAAGTGAGAGTTCAGGTCAACAAGGTTTTCTTATATTCACTTTTTGTTAGTGAAAAGGTTTCTTGCACCTTCTCCAGGGATCAGCATACTATGGCTCCCTAGCCAAACTTGACATGCCACCTGGTTTGGTAGAAAGGATGTCATTAGAACTTCTCAGTTACATATTGTTAGTGGTGGCTTTCATGCATGGTAAAGTGGAGTAGTTGTGACAGAACTTTATGGCCCCCAAAACCTATGTTACTGTCTGGTTCATTATAGAAAAGTTGTGTAATTCTCCCCCCCCCCCCCCCCCCCCCCATTTTGCCTGGTCTTTTTTGATAGCTTATTGTTGAGTCTCAGCTTTCTGGAGGGGTTCATCTGTAACTTCCCATCTCCCAAGAGTCTGATCTTTGACTTAGTCACCACATGGTGTTAAGAACCAGGCCTTTTGTTTCATCTCCTAGTTACCTTCTGTATTTCAGCCCCTTCCCCCCTTTCCCATTAGACATGTTCTGATAATCAGAGTCAATGTGGTTTGCAATTAAAGAAAGGAGCTGTTGAACACTCAAGGCTGCTTGCCCCTGGTCTAGAGGTTGGCAGTCAGTGGCTCTAGAGTCCGCCTCTCAAAAAACAGCGGCAGGAGGGGAATTAAAGTACCATTTTGATCTAGCAGCTGTGCAGGTACCCTGTGTCCTCACCCTCACTGCTCAGTGTGCACATCTGACTCAGCACAGGATTGTGGCCTGGGCCTGGCTTCTTGGCCAGATGAGGTGCCCTGCTTCTCCCCCTCAAACCTGAGGGGTAGGCCTGCCTGCCTGCCCTGCCCAGGAGGCAGGTGTCATTTTGGCACGTGCAGGAATGAGGACTGCAAGTGAGGAGAGGAGAAAGGTTGGACTTTCTTTCCTGGAGGCCTCTGCTGAGCAGGAAGCATGCTCTGCCTGGTGGGAGAACACGGCCCAGTAAACGTCCTTGACTCTGGACATTAGCAGTTCCTTGTGGTTTGTGGGGAGGTGAGTGGAAAGGCAGATACTATTTAGTAGAGTCTTTTTGACTCTACTAAATAGTCAAAAAATGTTTCTTGAATTTCAAGCTATAGGTCTTTATTTGAAGATTGGCTATGGAGCATTGGTGTTTGAGGTCTCTGTATAATGAGTAGGGGTCTGTTTCACCTTTAAGCCAATCCTGACTTATGCTACAGGAGTTGTCAGCTACATGTATCTATGTTGTCTGTATATGTATTATTCCTCTTTTCAGACAGAGTTTATTTTCTTCATAAAGGGATTCACCATGAGATTTTAAAAAATACAGTTCTTAATGTTTTATATTAAAAAAAACCTGATTTACCTGAACTACAGGAAGGGCTTAGCGGTTCCTTTTTTGTGCTCCTTAATCATCTCAGCATCCATCACACCCTTGCTTGTGAATGCCTGTTGTCTTTTCTTCAGGAGTCTCTTTAAACCCATTCAGGACAAAATCTGGGTCGTAAGCCTTCATATTCCTTGCTCAATGCTTGATGTGTATTAGACATAAATATTTGTTGAATTGTGCTGAACATAATATTTTTATTTTATGTCAATTTCCTCTGGAGTTGATATATTGTAAGGTTCTTCTGTGTTTATATCCTAATTTTTTTTGCTAACGTTTACTTCTTCAATAATTTAAAAAGAAAGTCAAGATATGCCTGAGAATATACTTCCCTTTCTTCCTAAAACATACACATAGATATACGCCTGTACGTGTATATGTGTAGACCACAAAATCCAACCCCAAACAGTAAGGAAAACTAAAGGCCATTTTCTTATTATGTCATTTGTCTGGTCATAAGTTATATTTTTAATTTTGTTTTATTAGAGTAAAATGAGGTCTGTGGTTCAACTAACATTGAGAGCCCTTTTAGTTTCTGACATTAATTATTGTAGTCTTTGGGGATTAGGGCAGGATATAAATTAATAAGAACAAAAACATGTTTTGTTACCAAAGTGTTATCTCTTTGTATAATGGATGAAAAAAAACCTTATTACAAGTAATTAGATGTATTTTCCATAGCTCAGACTGTTGTTTAATTGATTGAAACAGTATTTGTGGACACCTGTGTCTTGAACAGCTGCAGGTTCTGGGGACACAGCCAGGAAATAAAATAAGCCCCTGCCCTCAAGGAGCTGTGTTTTACTGTGTTTGTGTTTGTGTATGGGTGTGAGTGTGGAGTGGAGTGGGGTGGGGTGGGGAGGGGGACACAGAAAAAGAAATATGTTGGGTGTTGATCATTGCCAAGAAGAAAAAAGAACAGTATTAAGAAGAATATTGAGTGAAGGTGTGCGACATTATGATATAGGGGTCTCAGAGGTGAGCAGAGGCCTGCATGGAATTTGGGAGCAGGTGCCTAGGAAAGAGCCAGATGTGTTGAAGGAATACAGGAGCGGCTGCAGGTGGAGCAGAAGTTGTCAGTGAGGGGAGTGGTGAGAGCCAAGTCCAGAGAGACAGTTAGCCAGGACAGTGGCCCTGGTAGGTAGTAAGGACATCAATTCCACTCCAACTGAGATGGGAGGCCCCAGGAGTGATGTTAAAGTACATCACTCTGGCTGCCATTTGGAGAATGGCTAGTAGGGTGTGTGATAAAGGAGACCGATTGGGTTATCTAGGAACGAGAGGGTAGTGGTCTGGATCAGCTGATAGGCAATGGTGAGATCCCCTATTTTTTTTGAATGAAATGAGAGAAAATAATCCCTCCATAAAGAAGTACCATTGTTCTGATTATGCTTTTTTTTTTTTTTTTTTTTTTTTCATTATTTCCCCCTCTCTGCTTCTGTTTGACTCTTTTACAGAACCTAAATTAAGTGTAGCTCCTGAAATGGATATCATGGACTACTGCAAAAAAGAATGGAGGGGAAATACTCAAAAAGCTACATGTATGAAAAAGGTATGACACCTGCATGCACATATTTCAAGTCTTTCAAATAGTCTGTCATAGGTAATTATTTAGTGTGTCCTTTTATATTTTTAGACATTAATTATGACAATTGCTATTACACTATGTAAATATTAGTGTTCTGATTTTAGAGATAAGGAACAGTTGCCAAAGATAAGGGATTTTTTCCGAGTCCCAGTATTAAAATAGAATCATCAGTTTTTTAGTAATATAAGTTCCTTGAAAAACACAGAAATGACTCTGCTGTTTAGAGTTGGGCCAGCCATTGCTTGTCCTCTTGGAATCATTTGGGAATGCCGTACTGGCCTGGTGAGGTAAAATATGTCTAATCCTCTATTGTCCCCTGGGTTTTGTTTCATGCCCTCCAGTCTTAGGGGCTCCCCAAGCACAGGGATCTGAAACTACCCCTCATTTAGGGCATCCCGGGAGTTGTCCCCTCCCAACACTATTGTATAGATTGGTGACCCTATGGTAGTCTCCAAGACTGTGGGATATGCCAGGGTCTTTTTGTGACTGGACTGGCTCGTTACTCAGGTCAGATCCCCTGACTCACTCCTACTGCACAGCCAGCTGGACAGCACACCATTGCTTGCCCTTGAACGTGTCCTGAATCCAACATTCCTTACTAGTGTGAACCATGCAAAATTGCTACCATTCGACAGTTGTGAGCTGCAAAAATGAGTTTCAGTCTAAGTCTTCCACCACCTCTTGTAAATTCTGGGTCATATCTCCTGTTCATTTTTCTCTTGGGTTTATGTACATTGTGAACTTGAATGCACTTCTTGTATACTGGAGATATTGATCTATTATACTTGGTAGATATTTTTCTAATAGATTTTTTTGTTTGTAACTATTGTTTAGTATTTAAAATGTTTAAATAGCCCTAGCCAGTTTGGTTCAGTGGATAGAGCGTCAGCCAGGTGGACTGAAGGGTCCCGGGTTCGATTCTGGTCAAGGGCATGAACCTTGGTTGTGGGCACATTCCCAGCAGGAGGCAGCTGATCGATGTTACTCTCTCATCAATGTTTCTAACTTTTTATCCCTTTCCCTTCCTTTCTGTTAAAAAAAAAAAATCAATAAAATATATTAAAAAATTAAAATGTTTAAATATTTGAATACATTTTATCTTTTTTTCAGAGCTTGTTTTTGTAGACAGTATTGCACATCTTTCAGCATGCAACTCAGCTGCCCAGGCCTACCTGGCAATGAGCTGTTCTTAACTCAGAGTGTAGCTGTCACTTTTCAAGCTCTGAGAGCAGATGTCAGCTCTGCCCCCTGTAGGTATGGACTGTAGGCTCTTTATGTCTCAGTCCCTTGTGAGAGAACTCAATCAGGAAGTACCAGGACTCTCAGTTCCTGCCAGCAGTGAAGGGTGAACAACATCTAGATTTGTGAGGCCATTTGCTGAATCTGCGTATCAGCCACTCATAGATTTTTTAACAACCTTCACCTGGTATCAGACTAGATAACCAGTAGCCCAGTATCTAAACACAGGCATAGCTCATTTTATTGTGCTTTGCTTTGTTGCCTTTTTTACAAATTGAAGATTTGACGCAATCCTGTGCTGAGCAAATGTATTGATGCCATTTTTCCATCAGGCTCAGATGATTGTTAGCATTTTTTTTTTTTTTTAGCAATAAAGTGGGGTGGGTTTTTTTTTATTATTTTTTTTCAGTTTCAGTTTACATTCAGTATTATTTTGTATTGGTGTCAGGTATGTAGCATAGTGGTTTCACAGTCATATATTATACTTTACAAGTGTTCCCCTGATATATCCGGTATCCCGCTGGCACATACATAGTTATTACAATATTATTGACTATATTCTCTATGTTGTACTTTATATCTCTATGACTGTTTTGTAACTACCAATTGTGTGTGTTTGTGTGTTTTTAAAAAATATATATTTTATTGATTTTTTACAGAGAGGAAGGGAGAGAGATAGAGAACTAGAAACATCAATGAGAGAAACATCGACCAGCTGCCTCTTGCACACCCCCTACAGGGGATGTGCCTGCAACCAACGGACATGTCCCTGACTGGAATTGAACCTAGGACCCCTCAGTCTGCAGACCGATGCTCTACCACTGAGCCAAACTGATTTCGGCCAATTATGTTTTTTAATTAAGGAATATACATTGCTTTTTTAGTCATAATATTATTGCACACTTAATAGACTACAGTGGAGTGTAAACATAACTTGTATATGCATTGTGATACAAAAAATTCAGGTGACTTGCTTTACTGTGGTGGTCTGGAACTGAACCTGTAATATCTCCTAAATATGCCCATATTTTTTCATGTTCCCCAGAAATACTTCCACTGGCTTGCAATTTTATTATATGACCTCATTCTCTTTAAAGGATTTTTCTAACAACTGGCACCTGAAAGTCCATAATTGAAGATGACTCCTAAGTTATCCAAATATTCCATATTTTGGAACTCATGCTGAAATAATTTCTCTGTCATTTTATTTCAAGAAAAAGATTTGACCCTATAGTTGGGTTTTTCAGGGACCAAAATGGAAACAAAGGCACATCAGTTAGAAAAACATCGTCACATCAGGACTCATGGTCCTTTTGTGGAGCATCTCGGGCTGATAACAGCATGGGTCTCGGTTCCTTTTTTAGTCCTCATTTGTCTGTTTGGGTTTCTTTTGGAGATGTGTATAAATCCAAATTTAATTTTCAAAGTTTGACTCACCTCTGAAATAGCGTGAGTAATGTATGCATTTTGAGAGGTGCAGTTGCTGTTGAATAAGTCATCGTGAATATTCAAGGTAATTGAGGGTCCACCATAGGAAAGAGATGCACATTAGTAGACATGAGTCTGCTTGATGGTTCCTCATCTGTCACAGTGATTGGACTACTACCTAAAAATGGGACTCCCAACATTTTGTTATAAAGTAGTAGTTTCATACCCACTAAGAGCACTGCCTGTGACTTGGACCTTGAACACAGCTCATGATTAGGGTGCAGCACTTGGACACAGGGTGGCTGTCTGTGTGGTGAGAGTGAGACTCCTCTGAATAAGTGCAGGGTAGAAAACGGTCTCCAGAAACTGTCGAGGGAGAACAGGCCAAGCGAAAGGATAGACAGGATTGAAGTGAGCGAGTTGGGGGAGCGCTGAGGTTGATATGATGCCTGAGCAGTGTGCCCAGCCAGGGAGATTAGATCATCAGAGTTCCTGTGGACCAGTCACTAGGATTTTATAGTGTCCTTTTGTAGAGTATACTTCAAAATATTCCATTTGAATGCTGATTTTGAGAGCATGTCACTAAACATTTTCATTTCCTCCTTTCACTTCCAGATTGAACAAGAATGACAATTAAATCCACTTTTATTTATTTAAAATATTTTATTGATTTTATACAGAGAGAAAGGGAGAGAGATAGAGAGTTAGAAACATCAATGAGAGAGTCATCGATCAGCTGCCTCTTGCACACCGCCTACTGGGGATATGCCCGCAACCAAGGTACATGCCCTTGACCGGAATCGAACCTGGGACCTTTCAGTCCCCAAGCCGACACTCTATCCATTGAGCCAAACCAGTTTCGGCTTAAATCCACTTTTAAAATAGTATAACAGAATTATCCAAGAATTAGACTTTTTAAAATGTGCCATGGAAAATTGGGATTTTGGGATGTGTGTGTGTCTGTATGTGTTTTAATACAGAGATACAAATGTAGTACATCTTTCTCTTCTTTCCTATCTTTTCATTAAAGAGTTAAGGTCAATTTAAATACAGATTAAGCCCTTCAGAATTATCTATAATAATAAAAGCATAATATGCTAATTAGATGGGACATCCAATGTCATTCCGGATGTCCTGGACGAAGCTGTCATGGCGGGGGCTGAGGCAGGGGTGGTTAGGGGCGACCAGGCAGGCAGGCAAGCAGTTTGGGGCCATCAGGCAGGGAGGTGAGCAGTGAGGCGCAATCAGGCAGGCAGGCAGGCAGAGTGGTTAGGGACAATCAGGCAGACAGGTGAGTGGTTAGAAGTGAGCAGGCTGGCAGGCAGGCAGGTGAGCAATTAGTAACCATTGATCCTGGATTGTGAGGGTGCAGGCCAGGCTGAGTGACCCAGCCCCTGTCAATACATAATTTTGTGCACCCAGTCTCTAGTCAATCAATACATGATTAAAATTACCCATACACTCAGTTATCAATTCATAAGTGTGCAATAATTGCTTAAGAAGGACATATAACTCCAATTTTGAGAGTGGTTGGTATTTTAATAATACTGTGTATATTATTTATATGGTATTGCATCTGTTAACATGCTGATATTCTGTACAGTACTAACATTTGTTCATATCTTTTGATTAATAAAGAATTAGAATGTCTTACATGAAGGACTCAACCAGTCTTGTTTCCAGTCTTTCAGGGGCACATTTTCCCACTGGAATAAACTCTCCCTGAAGTTAGTAACAACCATTTTGAATTCTTTGATGCTTTCACCCAGGGCTACGAAGAGGTATCTCAGAAATTCACCTCCATAAGGCGAGTCCGCGGAGATAACTACTGTGCGCTGCGCGCCACGTTGTTCCAGGCCATGAGCCAGCCGGCGGGGCTGCCCTCCTGGCTGCAGGACCCGGAGCTCACGCTGGTACGCTGCCGCTGCAGGTTTGCGTCCGTAATGTTTCCAATCGTTTCTGTGAGCAAGACTTCCCTTTTCTGCCCGTGCTCTGTGCTAGCCTAGCCTGCAATATGACGTCAGCATGTGGGTTCATTGGGTTTTGTGTGGTTGGGATGATTTTGCATAGCAAAAGCGACCAAAAATAGTATTTCCCAGAAGAGAAAAATGATAAAACTTATTTGAACAGTTGAGCTGAATTAGTGAGCAGGTGTTAAGAGTTTGTAAAGGAGCAGTTTGGTTTCCGAGCTGGTGCTGATTTGAATGGATGTGGTAGTGACACCTGGAAAGCATGTCATGTGTCCACAAACATCAGATGAGGTCATGTCATAGGTTGGGTGATAGAATACCTCAGAGAGTTTGGTGGGCTGGAATGATTGAGAAAACTGACAGTAGGGCATAATTAGAAAAAAATTGGAAGTCTTGTGCTTATTTTAGGTTCTGGATGAAACTGAGGACCTAATTGAAGGTTTGCAGCAGGGCTGCCCACATGCTGCCAGGGAAGCCGTCTTTGTTACAAAGGAACACGTGCCCTTTCGCTAGTTGTATTGAAAGGTGTTCCCTGTTGCATTTTGCCCTCTTCCCTCTCTCCTGGAACAGGACATGGAAGGGATGCGGGAGAGCTGGGCTGAGAGCCCCTCCCCTTAGTCTGATTTCAGTGGAGAGAGCCTGGACTTGGCTTTCTGCCTGTGCTCAGCTCCTCTGGCTCCTTCCCCGCCTGGGAGGTTAAGCTTTGTCCTCCCTGCCCCTCGGACAGTTCAGCTGTCCCTCACTTCCTGTCCTTGCCTGGGCTCCCTATGTGTTGTTTCTGCATCTGTCAGATTCCAGTTTTGGTATTTGACCGCAGTCAGGTTACCTAACAACCTTGGAGGTGCTTGGCTTGGTTCTTACACTTGGAGCAGGCCTGGGTCCCTGAGAGGTGGTGTCCTTTAGTTTAGTCCTTTGCTTTCCAGGTTTTCTAAGCTTTAGAATGTCTCTGAGTGGGTGGGATCTGTGGCAATGTTTGCTTAGAGTGCGTTAGACTCTAAGGTGTATTGAAACTTACTTTATGAGTTAGTTGTAGGGATGACACATTTTTATTTGCTACCCCTTTAATCATGGTGTTGATTTCAAGAATTATAGACTTGTTAGAGAAAACAGGGTGTTTTTATAATTCAGTCACAAATTGAATTATACTTAAGCTAATTACCTATTTTATTCTTAAATATTTCCCATCATTATTTTGTGTTAAGTCTTGTTTCTTGCTCAAATTTTTAACAGAAGTCCAGTCTTTTAAGGTACAAGGAGAAAAGAATGGCTATTTATGTGTTCTGTGTATTAGGAGCTCTGAAAACACTTAAAATTATGTTCACTTCTTTCTTCTGAATAAATAATTCCAACTCAATTATTTTTTTCTTTATAGTTTCTTTTTCACACCTTATTTTTTGGATTTTCTCAACTGTCTCCAGAACTATGCACCTTCAGTGGGAGAATTGCTCTAGCAACCCTGAGCAATGCATGGAAGGATTGAGGAGATGGACTTTTATTTGGGTTTTTGGCTGCATAGTTAGATCTTTGGGGTCTCCTGGGTAATTCTGCTGAGTGTTGTGCCTGCTTTTTAGATACCTGCACAGTGTCCCGTGATGCTCAGATGGGCTTAAGGGCTTTTTTTCCCTTGGTTCCCAGCTCACATCTGTGTGGCCCAGATTTTCTGCTCACTTGCACTTCTCTGTGCCCAGTTGTGATTTCAGCTTGTTGCCACTTGAGGGCATTTTAGGTTCTGGATGAAACTAAGAACCTAATTGAAGGTTTGCAGCAGAGCTGCTCACATGCTGCCAAAATGCAGGACAGTGTGGGCACAGAGCTGGGTGGCTCATTGTGGGGGGAGGGGTGGTCATTTGTCATTACAATAAGCCCCTTCCCCCTATGAGTGAGTGGATGAGCATCACTGTGGGAACTGCAAGAGGAATTTATATCCCAGTGGTGGTTTTGTTTTTTGCAAAGATGAAACCACCTTTGTTTTACATGATTGGTATAGACTGAGAAGGTAAAACTGGAATTACCATTATGAAAGGGTAGACAGGGTCTTAGATTCCAGAAGAACTTAACATATGGTCTCATTTAAAACTATTTATGTCCTAGCCAGTTTGGCCATAGATCTTCGGCCTTTGGACTAAAGAGTCCCGAGTTCAGTTCTAGTCAAGGGCTCATGCCCGATTGCAGGCTCGATCCCTTGTAGGGGGCATGCCAATCAGTGATTCTTTCTCATCAGTGATGCTTCTGTTTTTCCCTCTCCTTCTCTGAAATCAATAAAAAATATGTTTAAAAAACCCCACCTATTTATAAAGTTAAACAAGCTCATGTTCCACATAGGATGTTGTAGGAATTAATTATTCTTTAATGATCTTTTGACATGGAGGTGAACTTTTTTTCCCTCTCTAAATTTTATAGCAGTGGCACGACATGCCTGTGCCCAGCCTAATAACATGGATTTTTCTCTTGGCACACCGGACACTGTTGGGGGAGAGAGTTCCCATGCTGTCATCCATCAAGTTGTGTCCCATCTTGCCTTTCAGACTCCAGATTTCACTGATGATTGGTGGGAAATTACAAAAGGGAAGCAGACAAGTATGAGTTCATCTGCCACCATTACAGCTCCCATAACCCCTACTTCTTATTCTCAGTGCTGTTTTTTATCTTACTATACTAAGCAGTTGAACTAGATACAATATTGCTTCATTAAAACTTGGAGTATATGTGTTAATATCAAAATTAGGTTTTGTTTTCTTAGTCAGGAAGGGAGGTGGTTTTTACTTTATCCTGGACCATCTTTCAAGTCCTGGAGCCCCTTTCAGAGGCAGGCAGCCTGGAGTGCTAGGGAGGCTAGGGCGTACATTCACAAAGTGCTGCGCAGAGTTCCTGGCTTGTGCAGGGTAGATTGAGCTCCTGTATCTCAACCCAAACCTTCATTTCACTCCAGCAGTCCTCCTTAGGGCAGTACTTTCTGGGTTCCCGACTTCAGGTTTAGGTGATGCAGCCTAAACCCACATGACAGGTTTGCAGGGATTAATTCTGGAAATGAAGGTAGGAACACTAGTGATAAAGAAATGGGAGAAAGAGAAAGACAAAGGGCTTTGTGGTTTCTTACAGCTTGGTTTGTGTGATGGACTTTTTGGAAGGTTAATGTTCTTTGTCTCTCTGTTTCTTTATACTCCAGTTACCAGAAAAACTCATAAGCAAATACAGCTGGATCAAGCAGTGGAAACTTGGATTGAAATTTGAGGGGAAGAGCGAGGACCTGGTTGATAAAATTAAGGAGTCCCTCACTTTACTAAGGAAGAAGGTTTGGAACATGTAATTTTCTTTTTTTGTGTGAAGTGCAAAAGCTCCTGCTCCTAATTGCCCAAGCAGACCATTTTTTTTTCTCTTGAATTTATTGGGAGTGACATTGGTTAATAATTTTATATAGGATTCAGGTATACAATTCTATAATACATCATCTGTATATTGTATTGTGTTCACCACCCAAGTCAAATCTCCTTCCATCCCCATTTATCCCCCCTCAGCAGACCACTTAGTCCTCACTTGGTTTACCAGATGTTCTTGGCTGGTTTTTAGGCAAAATAAGTTTGGACAAACACAAACCCTTCCTGTGAGGTCTTTGGTAAAATTGAGAAATATCAACATCAAGTATTCTTGGAGAAGATATGTTTAATGATTTGTTTAACTGTCTTAAAAGGAAACCATAACAAATATAGTCTTTGTGCTAAGTCATACTAACAAGTTTCAGTGATACATTTAGTCCATATTTTTCTTTAAAAAAAAAAAAAAAAAGAATGTTTTTATTGAATTGGGAGAGAGGAAGGGAGAGGAAGAAAAAGACAGAGAAACATCAGTATGAGAAAAACATGGTTCTGCTGACTTCTAAATGCACCCAACCAGGGATCAAGTCCAAACCCTGGGCGTGTGCCCTGACTGGGATCGAACTAGTGACCTTTTAGGGACAGTCCAAATTTCTTATATCAGTGATATGAATTTATGCCCATTAGGCTTTCAGTTTTATGAAAGACTGTTCATTTCTTTATACCCAATGTCTAGACCTGAACCTGCCACATAATAGGCATTCGGTAAATACCTTGATGGATGAACTGAGCACCTGGAACCAAGTTTGGGTTTGCAATCATAGAAATATTTAATGCAAAATACACTGTCACAGAAACACTAGTGATGAAATGGGAGGACAAGGAAGACAGAGGGATTCCTTTGTTCTTGCATATTAAGCGGAGCACAGGATTAGTGGGGGTTGGAGATCTGTGCTGCCCAGTCCCCGGGTCAGTGGAGGGTTGAAGGCAGGAGTGAGTGAGAAGGCTCTTGAGTTCAATCACTTGTGATTTCCTTTTTATCTTTTTTTTTTTTTTTTTAAATATATTTTATTGATTTTGTACAGAGAGGAAGGGAGAGAGAGAGTTAGAAACATCGATGAGAGAGAGTCATCGATCAGCTGCTTCTTGCACACCCCCCACTGGAGATGTGCCCGCAACCAAGGTATATGCCCCTGACTGGAATCGAACCCGGGACCCTTCAGTCCTCAAGCCGACGCTCTATCCATTGAGCCAAACTGGTCCCGGCCCTTTTTAAGTTCTTGTGAAATTGCAATTTTTGCTTTTTGTGTGTGTGTGTGTGTGTATCTAGGGTAACTGGATCCTCGTTTTGAGGAATGTTTAAGTGATTCCAATTTACAGTAATGTGAAAATTATTAACTGAGCTTCATTCCCAGCACTTTCTATGGGCAGGCCATACACTAAAAGTTGTATTTAATTCTTACAACTACCAAGGTGATGTTGCTATGGTTATCCCATTTTTACAGCTGAGAAAACTAAGGCCCCGCAGTTGGTTAATGCCCTGCAAAAGCCATCAGCTCTTGGGTGAGGCCTTCATTCTGTCCTGATTCTAGAGCTCTGCTCTTGACTGGCAACTTGTCTCCTGGAAAATGAGAGGTTCCAGCTTTCAACCTGCTTGTTGGAGAGTCTTGTGCTGTCATTAACATTTACTCTTGGATTTAAAATTTTAATGGGTTTTCAGGGGAGAGGTAGTTACTGGTGATTCATAAGGACTAGTTTTATATTGGCATCTTTTATTCTCATTTAATTTAAAAGTACATGTATTTATGGGTTTTCTTGTTTACATAAAGAGTGTGTCTATTTTGGCTGAATACCTGACACTGCTCTATTCTTAATCAGGAGTCACTTAGAATTTCCTGAATGGGTTTATTCATTTGAAATTTATAGTAGGTTAGAAGGTTAAATTTAGTAAACTAATATTTAGGAGATCCCCTAGGCTTCCTTGCCCATCTTCATTTTTGAAGGTTTCTGGATAACTGTACCTGTAAGCCCCCTTACAGAGAGGAGTAATTTTAGCTCTTCTGCACAGCTTCACACCCAGGACTCACCCAGTCACGTTAGGTCTTCCATAAATATTTCCGATTGATTGAGTCTCATTACCTGGGAAGTTAGGGTTCCAAATTGCCATTCCTCAGTCCCAGTGCTTCTCCTTAGTGTATTGTACTTTTGTTTCAAATTAATGGAGCAGAAACTGAATAAGGATTTTGTGTGGTCTAAAGAGTAGTACCATTGTTTGAGCTGGAAACTTAAATGTAGTGACCCACGGTTGCCTACTTTTGAAAATGATTTTGTGCTCAAAGTATGGAAGTATACCAGGGAACAGAAACGTAATTATTATGTAACTTTTTTATTGCAGTGGGCAGGCTTGGCTGAACTGAGAACTACTGAAGCAAGACAGATAGCTTGTGATGAACTGTTCACAAATGAAGAGGAAGAATATAGCCTTTATGAAGCTGTAAAATTTTTAATGTTACACAGAGCCATTGAACTATATGATGATAAAGAGAAGGGCGAGGACGTACCATTTTTCTCTGTGCTTCTGTTTGCTCGGGACACATCCAGTGATCCTGAACAGCTACTGAGGAACCATCTAAATCAGGTGGGACACACTGGTGGCCTTGAACAGGTGAGTTATACCTTTGCTTATTTACCCCAAAACACCAGCATTAACCATCAAACATTACCTCTTAGTGCTTGGGTGTCAGAAATTCAGGGGCAGCTTAGTGGGTGACTCTGGCTTGAGGTCTCCGGTGGTTGCAATCATCTGAGGACTTGACTCGGGTTGGAGGATCCATGTCCAACATGGCTCCCTCACCTGGCTATTGGCAGGAGGCCTCAATTCCTCACTGGTAGGGGATAGTTCCTTGCCATGTGGGGCTTTATATAGATAGGGCTCACAACATGGCAACTGGCTTCTCTCAGAAAGTAATTCCAGGAGAGAGTGGGAAAGAAGCCACAATGCCTTTTATGATCTAGTCTTGGAAGTCACACCCCATCACACTTACCCATGTTATATTTGTTAGCAAGTCACTAAGTTCACCCCACTCTTGCAGAATTGTGGACCTATTTTAGGAACAACATGGTTATCTCAGCCTGGGCTTGCTTCTGAAGGTGGTAATGGGATCAGTATCTTTGGATCTGGTAGTCTAAACACCCTTCACATGACTTTTTTTTTTTTTTTTTTAAATCTTGGCAGCTGTAGCTGTATTAGCTAGGATCCTTTAAAAATAGAAATGGGGTCACCTTAGCTAGTAGAGCACAGCCTGCTCTTGGATCTTTTTCACAGAGACCCAGTGCTGTCCCAGGAGGCAACAGTTGGCTCCCTTTTCACTGTCTTTGGTGAGGCTTATTACGTTGCCTTAAAAAGCTTTTTTTTTAGTTGAATAGCCAGCCACTAAAGTCGCAATAATGCTATCCTTCCAAAGAGCTTCCTTCCTTCTTCCATGGCTGGCTCTTTGGCTTGCCTTTTCCTGATCCGTCTGAAAGAGCAAAGATGATGGTCATGCTGGGTCAGGCAGGATTGAAGATAGTTATTTTAAAAACAATCTGTAAGTTACCTAATGTCTTCTGAACAGTAGCAAGGACAATGCAGTGAAAAGCCTGCTAGGGCGGGTTTTGCATGTTAGGCTGAAGGTAATCCTTTCTGGGTCTCCACAAGGTCTGCTGTTATGGAGAGTCCAATTTTTTAAAAACAGCTTTGAGATAATTTACCTACCATAAAGTTTGCCCCTTTTTAAGTATGCAGCTCAATGGGTTTTTGATATGTTTACAGAGTTTTGCAGCTATCACAGTCTAATTTTAGACCATTTTATCACCCCTAAAAGAAACCTCATGCCCATTCTTACTCCCCGCTCCCCCCCAGTCCTAGCCAGCCAGTAATCTACTTTCTGTCACCTTAGATTTGCCTACTATGGAGAGAGTTCATATAAATGGAATCATAAATCATATAATATGTGGTCTTTTGTGACTGGTTTCTTTCACAGCTTAGTGTTTTTAAGATTCATGAATATTGTATCATGTGTCAATTCTTCATTCCTTTTTACTGATAAATGCTATTCCATGATATGGATATATCACATTTTATTCATCAGTTGATGGATATTTGGTTCATTCCATTTAACTATTCTGAAAAATCCTGCTATGAACATTCATGTGCAAGTTTTTTGTGTGGACATATGTTTTTAGTACCTGGGAGTGGAATTGCTGGGTCATATGGCAGTTCTTTGTTTAGTGTTGAGGAGCAGCTGTATCATTGGTCATTCCCACCTGCAGTGTTTGAGTCCCACATCCACACCTCACATAACATAAAAGTAACCATTTTAAAGTGTTAGCTCAGTGTCCTTCAGTACATTTACCAGTTATGTGACCATCACCTGTATCAAATCATTTCATGCCTGAAAAGAAAAAACCTGGTAAGCAGTCACTCCCTGCATCTATTGTCATTTTGATTAGAGCCATTCTAGAGGTGTGATGCGGTATCTCTCCATGGTTTTGATTCCAATCCTTGATGACTTCTCGTGATAGCTGTCTTTTGGACTCTGCTGAGTTATAAGAATTTTATAAATTCTGGTTACAAGTCCCTCATCAGACACAATCCATTGTTGATTTGCTTGTTTACAACGACCATATGAAAGAGGGCTGGGGCTAGGTCCATGGGGAGGAAGAAGGATTTTAGCTTAGCCGGCATGGCCAGGGACACCTGGGATGGAGCCGGAGGTAGGTGGTATCTTTCACTTACCCGTTTGTTCTCCTCCCCAGATTGAAATGTTCCTTCTGGCCTATGCGGTACGCCACACCATCCAGGTGTACCGGCTCTCCAAATACAGCACTGAGGAGTTCATCACGGTCTATCCCACAGACCCACCCAGGGACTGGCCGGTGGTGACCCTGATCGCTGAGGACGACCGGCACTACAACATCCCCGTCAGAGTGTGTGAGGAGACGAGCTTGTGAGAGAGACACACCTGGACAGCCTAGCTAGCCTGGCAGCAGGGCAGAGTGTGCAGCACCTCCTCAGCTCGGGCTGCGGTCTGCTGGTCTCTTAGAATGAATTACATGGACTCTTGGACACTGCGAGCCAAGCTGGCCTGGGATGTTCTGAAGACTAGCTTCTGATAATGAGTTAACCAAGTTTTCTCCTCATATATGAGGCAATATGTTTTAGTAGAACCTTTCAGAGCCACATCTGTTGGAAGGTGCACATCTTTTCCATAAAACAAATAGTATCAGGAGAATATGTTCTTTTTATCTCAAACCAAACTTTATTAGAAAACTGGCTTTCAATTTTTTTTTTAATAGTAATTTTTTTGTTTTGGTAGTAATGGGTGTCTGGTGCCTGCCCTTCCTATGCAGTCTGCTTACGCGGTATAATTCTGGAATGGAGTCTGCTAATGGCACAGTCTCAACATCCTCTGATAGTTTGGCAAGCAGTGATTTGGATTTACATATTAATTAAAGCTACCTTAAACAGATTACTTAAGGGAAGACTGAGAATTGGTTTTTAAAAGGCTGGAGAGGAGCAGAAGGGAGACGATGGCACCTGGAAATCCTTGCTTTTCGAGGACATGACCAGTGTTGAGTCCGCAGCCACACCAGGTTTGGTGCAAGTGGGGTGCTTTAGGGTCGGGCTGTTAATTACTCTGTGGCCCATAGGCTCACTACCAAAGTCAGAACAGAGCTCAGATCTACCTGTGTTTTTAGAGGAGGAAGCCAAGGCCAAATGACTGTAGGCACACGGCTGAGTTTAGGGGTGGGATATGCTGGATCCAGATTTTCCTGCTATTTTTAAGGATGTTTCTATTGCTGGCAGTATCTCTGCCAGCAGTACTGCACAGTACTAAAACAGTGCAAAAGTATGGCTATGCTGTATTCCTGCTTTATTTTTGGAAAGCTTGAGGGAGGCAGTGTTCTGGGCCATGAGCAATTGCCTTCCTGGTGACCAGGTGGTGGTTATGGGGCAGCCTAGCCGAGCATGGCCTGCATTAGGACTTGGAATTGTCTATGTGAGGCATGGACTGTGGACACTACTCACAGTAACCAGACACGTCATTCTTAGGGTTGTACCAGCAGCGCCTGAATTGGCTCAGCATTTGTGGAGGTGGTTTTCCCTGAAGCACTGAGCTTTATTTTAGAATAACTTAAGTCTTTATTTGGTGCCGTTTAATAGTTTATAAGCTCTCTAACCTGTGTTTTTTCAGAGGGGTGAACCTTTGTTGAAAATTAAGTTTTGCTTTCACTTCAAATTCTTAGTTGAGAAAACTCAGAGGCCACACAGACTGTTACGTTAGCATTTTCCCCATGATTTCGTCAGTACTGGTCACATTTTGGTAGATGCTAATTCCCTGAATCAAATTCTGCTCTAAATATGTGTGGATTGGAGAGGCTTGTGTTTTTCACTGTGAAATGCAATGGTGCCTGGATAGGAGGTGCCTAGAAGCCAACGTAATAATAATGACTTCTTGTTGGTTTTGATGCTTCATTTTAGTATTTGTAACATAACAGGAAGTACATACCACCGTTTGTTCATACCCACCATTGAATTTAATGGTACTCATGATCATTTGTCTTTGAGTTTTGAAAATAATCTAATCTCAGTGAACTTGAACTGGACTTCTAGGCAACTTAATTGTTTACATTTTATACTTTTTTGTTTCTGTGTACGGTATTATTAAATTGTGATCTTCACTCCTACACTTATAACAATTGAAAAAAGATAAGTTTAATTGGTTTTCTGTCCCAAGGCCTTATTTGACCCTGCTCATAAACATATCCAGGCTTAATGGGGTCACAGCATAAGAGGAGCAAAGCTGTCCATGAAACAGTGCTTCAGGAAATACAGATGACTGGCCAACTTTAAAAATAACGTTTGTTGCAACATGCAACTTCAGTTACTCAGATTCCTAATTCCATTTCTCATTCCTGGTCTTGGGCTGGTCAGTGACATGAGCAGAATAAAAATGGAATTGAGACCAAAATTCCATTCAAGAGAACAATAATTTAGAAGGACCTCTAAAATGATCAAGTATCTATAAGGAAAGTTAGTGGGAATTGCACTGTGCTTACTTTCAATCCCAGAGTTTATTGCAAGAATTCAGAGATTTTGGACCCTATGATTTTGGCAGAAAGATGATCTCCACCTTAAGCAGGCATGACTTATTCCTTTGAGTTCATTTAAATATTAATGGTACATAAAAAATTAATAAAGAATTTCTGTGTAGCAAGTTCCATGGAATTAGTTTTGCTCCTTCAGAATTTTTTCTGGCTCCTCTCCTCACCTGCATATACAGCTGTTCATCTCACCCATACACATGGAACGGTGATGACGGCAGTGGAGAACATGAGGCCAGTGTGTGGATTTTCACTTGTGATCTAGACATAGGTGGAATTTGATCTGAAAGGCTTGCAGTCCCTCTTCCTTCGAATATGGCATGTCTGAAAATGTTTTAAATGCACAGAACAAAACTGACCCTGTTTTCTCTATATAGTAATTTCCACTTTTATTACACTGTTATATATTCAGTTAATGCCTGATGAAATTTTTCTTTGATTAAGAAAAACAGACACTGTCTTTTTGTGTTCTTTCATTAGTCTTACCAGGTAAAATCTCAGGCCACATGCACTAACACCTCTGATTGGAGAAATGGCCTTTGCAGGTTATGTGCTTATTTTCTTTTAAGTATTTTTGTTTTAAGGGCTGTGCTAGTCCTCCTGCTCTCACCCTCACCCCCACGTGCTGTTTTCTTCCAGATAATGACTGAAGTGCTTATGAAAATGATATCATTGCATTTAATGATGTAGCCTTTACCATCAGCATAGATGTAGGATTCCAGTATTCTTTCTGGCTGTTCTCCTTTCTGATATTAAAATAAAGTTAGATTATCTTCTTTTCTCTTTCTTAAGCAACACTTTGCAGGTACTCCCCCTTGAAAGCCAGAAAGTTATTTTCAAAAATATATATACCTCCAGGGCATCTCACTTGTAGGCATACCTAAAAATAAATGCCTTTTTAAAAGATCTGTGACTACTGTGAAGTGAATCTGAAATGTGTGTGAAAGGCTTGGGTGTCCCCAAATAGTTTAGCAGAAGCAGAGTCCAATGTCAAGTCATTTAAAAATGGCCCAAGGAACTGTACAAAGTGCACCGAAGGAGGACTGATTTTTAGATGAGAAATGCCACACAGAAACGAAGCAACAGATGCCCTGCAGACCTCCTGGGCTTAAATTATAAAAGAATACAAATCTGAAAGAAAGGGAAAACCTATGTGGGTGGATTCTGCAAATTCCTTTTTCTAAAATTTGTTAATTCCCTGTGTAACAGAAGTGTAATATTTAATGCCTTTGGGCAACCTCGTTGGTGATCTCTTCTGAGGGGTGGAGAGACCAGGGAGCCAGTGCTGAGTTGTACAGAGAATAAAGACTTATTTCTGGCAACTCTTTTAAATGTTTATGTAATTCTATTTATAACCAGGAGCCATGGAAAGCACAAAACTCATTTGACTCCTTGACAGCACCTTAGTGGCAGTAGCATTGGGAGCAAGGTGGGCTTGCCATGCCCAGGAGGGGTGTGTGTGTTGTAAATGCATGCAAGCACATGCATGTATATAAATGTATGTGTGCTGAAGTCACATAGTGACTGTTATGTCAGGAGGCCTACAGCAGAGGGCCCATCAGAATTGGGTAGGTTGGAGGGGAGCTGTCCCATTTGATTTTTTTTCTTGGTAAATTGAAAATTATGACTGGAAATAGTGGAATGGGTTAGTATGTATGTATAATTAAACTATACAGAGTGGCCATTAAATCTGAAAATACATTAATTATATTCAAATGTTATATCAACAAACCATTTATTGTATGTCTCTGTTCCCAGGCCTTATGGCCACCTGTTTATTTAAATATTTCAAATGCTTATTAATAGCCAGAGCTATTAATGGAGAACACTGACTGGAGTTTTATCTCAGTCTTGTTGATTTCTTGGGTGTAAGTCTGGGTCAGGGATGAAATTGCCAAAACATGCAAGGAAACGGTCCAGTCCGGGCTTGAAATTTCAAGTTAGCAGTCGTTTCCCTGTGGTTAAGCTTAGTAAAGTCATTTTGTATTTAATTTTAACAGTTGTATTATATTGAAAAATGTCTTCATGTAAATGGTGCTATAGTATGGTACCCCTCCCTTTCAGGTTCACTCCGATTACTTCTGAGTATTTAGATATGGGAACAAAGAGCCAAAATGAATGTATTTAATGAGTTATCTGCTCTTTTCCATTGCTTTTATAGAAATGTCTTGGTATTGTCACCTGTCTGGTATTTCTCCTTTTGCAGGCGGGGCTGGGAAGGGAGAGAGAGCAGCAGGTACATGAGATGTGAACCTGGCCCTGCTCTTCTTGGCTTGTTTTAGTCAAGTCTCTGTTTACACTATAAAATGTCAACATTTGTCAAAAAATTCTCCTTCTCTGAAAAACATGCCCCAGGCTCTGGTCAGTTTGGAGCCTCGCCTCCCACCTGCCTCTGCAGTGGGACACCTGGCTCAGGGCATAAGAGTTTCCTTTGTGACTTGTTGAGTCTCATCTTCACAGTAAAAAAAATAAACAGAAAATAAAAACTCAGTGGCCTGGCTGTGTTGCTGTGGTTCAGTGCCTGCCTTTGAGGATTTTGGGAGATTGGGGTCTAATGCTTTAACTTTCCAATATCCCCAAGACAGGCCTGCAGTGCCCAGTGACTTCACAGAGTGAACCCATAGGATGTTTTAGCCCTGATTAGGTGCCTGGTTCTGGAACTGGGTTTGGGTTCAGTATCAGTCCCATCATTCACTATTAGGGTCAGCTGGGGCCAGTCACTTGACCTCCCTCCATCTGCATCCCTGCCACACAGCCTGTCTTCCGGCAGGGTGGGGTGTGAAGTGAGGTACAACATTTGAGACACTTCCAGGAAGGTCCCCTAGGCCTGCAAGGGAGGGCGATAG